TTTTCTTGCTTTTGGGCTCTTTCTAGTCTCCATGTTGATTTTTTTTTTCTTTGCTGCTCTCACAGCTGATTGCATAAATGCTGTTTTATCCTTTTAATGGGAGCAGAAATGGGTTTTGGCTCATTTTAAAAAATTTGTTCAGGACTAAAGATCTTTTCAGTTGCAGCTGAAAGTAGCCAGTAGGTCCAAACAAGGGGCCAAAAAGGAGGGAAAGTGCCTTTGTTTGCAGTGCTTCGGGCTTTATTTCTGCAGGTTACCAGTTCTAAACAATTTACGTAGGAGCTTATTTTGGTTTTGCTGTACTTCAGCTTAGAAATCTAAACTGCTTAGAAATCTTACCAGGTTAAGAAGTATGCCCAGATAGCTGGTGCAAATATCTTGTAGAATCCTGTTAGCTATTTTCAAGTAGCAAGGCTAGGTTGAACCATTGCCTAATACTTGATTTATTGCTTGTGCAGTAATTACTAAGATGTTAGTTAGGTCATTGCCCATTGTTTCTCTGCAAAACAGTGAAATTATTTCATAAAGAACAAGAAATTAAATTTTACTTACATGCAAGATGCATTTTTTTAGTATATTTCCAGATGTTGCTATGCTCAGAAAGTGGGAAAGTGAATATAAATACTTTAAAAAAAGGACTCTTTATGGTTTTTTTTTGTTACAAGGTTAAAGTAGATAATTTGGAAATATGGTGAGAAATTGAAAAGAAATTTGTGAATATTTTAAGGATGTGTATTAAGTTGTTTAAGGGGATACTTAAAGTTTCAATAGTGCATTGAAGTTCTGAATATTACTCTGCGATATTTCCCATGGAATGATTTTGAAGCGTACAAGCTTGATTACAGTTTCAGTCAACTGCAGACTAGATTCAATCATGGCCATTAATCCTGTAGCCTTAGCAACAAAATAGTAAATATGTGATCTTTCTAAACATTTTTTTTGCCTTTTCTAAACTTTTTCTTTAGCTTTGTAGCTCCTTACCAATTATTTTTGAGTGCTGTATGTATAATCTCTTGACTTTTAAAGTTAAGAGTACTGATACTTTGTTTTCATCACTAACACTTCTCTACTTTTGTCTCCTTATTTTAGAGATGCTAACAGGTGAAAAAGAAAAACAAACACCAAAACAATTCAGAAACCTTGTTTATGTTTAGCCTTCAGCTCTGTTATGTTACTTGTGTTATTTCAAAGTATAGGTGATTTATTTTGGCCTATAAATCTTCTTTTTGAATAATGACAGTCTTTGAATGTCAGCAGTTTATATAGTAAACTTGCCAGTATTTAAGAATAAAAGTTTGGTTTCCTTAGCAAATAATTACTTGGTATTTCAATTTCCACCACATTTTTGTCACTTGAGGTAAAGGCCAGGAACACCCTTTTCTTAAACTTCTGTTAAAATACCAGGAAATTTTTTTTAACCTGGTATGTGATACAGGATTCCACCCCATCCTTTGCACCCACCCCCCAGCTTGTCTTAAATGCAGTTTTTTAGTTTTCCCTCCAGATCTAGCAGCCTTTATTTGCAGAGAATCAAATTCAACAAACTTGTCCAAAGATCCCAACAAAAAAACAAACAGAAAAACCCATCAGTTCTATCATTCAGTTGTTGAATCAATAGCCATATGATGAGAGAGGAGATTATTTTATCAAACGAAATAGATCTAAAGAAGTCAAAACATCTAAACCGAAGATTTGTCTTTTGTATCCTAGATGAAGGGCTTTCTTTTTTGATTATCTGATCTCTCCAGCCATCATCTGCTTACAGATGTGCCATTTATCAGTGATTATGGAAGTCCTGAGCATGTGAATATCCAGAAGTCTGTGGACAAAAGAAAACTGTTTAATACAGCTTCTTGGGATTTCCAAAAGACTTAAGAAAGATTCTGAAAGAAACTAAGTGAAAGATGTATGTCCTCTTGTAAACAATTAACTAGTTAGAAGATGAGAAACAAAGCTTCAATTTTTGTAGTAAATGCAGTTCACTGGAAAAGGCCTGTAGGAGTTTGTGCTGGACCTCCTGCCGCCTAACATCTGAAAGGCAATGGATGAAGCGTAGTGAAGTTTGCTCCTGTTGTTAAGCTCCTTAAGGGCAGCTGAGAAGGGGTGCAGAAGGACCTTTCAAGGCAATGCATCAGGAGGGAGAGAAATACTTTAAACTTTGTAGAGAGTGGTAGGTCCTGGGTTGACAGTTTCTTGCAAAGATGAGGTCTTGGCATTCTTGCAGAAAACTACTTTGGTAATGCTTTCTTGATTTCCTACTGGGAATTGAGTATCAAACCAAATTTCAGACATTATTAGGAATAAAGAGCAGAAATGAAAACAAAGTGTAAAAAACCATGTACATCCTCCGTCATGAAGTGAGTACAATTTTGCCTCCTGCATCAGAAGAAACTTATCATACAAATGGAAGAAGAATAGGGAAGGATGGTAAGAGTGGTCAAACATATGAAATTGCTTCTGTGTGACAAATGAATGATTCTTTAACCTGGAGAAGAACATGAGGAGGTACATGATCTAGATCTGTGTAGTCATCAGCAGTACATGGAAAAGTCAGAGCAGAATGACAAGTAATCAGTTACTCCAAGAACTGAAAAATCATCAAATAGTAGGTTCAAATTAAACATGATGCTCATTTAAAATGAAGTGCCACAGCACAAGACACAGGATGCTTAAAAGCTTACGGTTTCAAAAATCTGATCAAACTAGCGAGCAATATCTAGTTGAGAACTAGGAAATATAAAGACATCATCTCTGACTTAAGAGATCCCCAAGTCAGCTTTCTTAAGGATGTGCTCTCAGCTGATGTGTCACAAGACAGTTGGATTCAGATTCTGCTCTCATTGTTTGACAGTCTTTAACTTGATGGCGTAAAAGCCAATGCGAAACACTTCATGACAAGCTGGATTTCACTTTCTGGCTGGCTTATTAATCATTCTATGGAAGTTTGATTACCTTTGAACAAACTGGGGATATGACTTCTTTTAGGATACAGGTAGGTAGGTTTAATTGTCATACTTGCTGTGGTGCTTGTCTGATCTTGTGGTGACCTTGCCTTCCTGCCCCCAATAATTTTTTTGCTGAATCCTCAAATTGAGGATAAAGTTGCCAGATTTTTCGCATTTCCAGCTGAAGAAGATAGGCTTGTTGAGACTTTGTATGCTCCTTGGTCAGAGTTTTATTCTGATTTTACAGTAGCAAAACTAAAATTTTCCTGTCTTTTTTCAGCATGTAATTGAGGGTAACTGTAATGACTGGCTGGTTTTAGTGTTTTGACTGTTGAAGGATTATTTTTAGTATTTTGACCTCATTTAATGTAGATGCTTAATTGTCTGCTTATATAATAGCGACTCAGATGTACACTTACTGAACTAGAAAACTTTACTGCACAAGAATGTGACAAGATGGTGTGTTTGCTTGAAGGACCACTTGGCAAAAATATAAAACACTCTAAATGATTTTTTAGTTTCATGTTGTTGACTTTCATAAGTAACTTCTAGTACATGTTTTAGCAACATATGTCAATAAATAAGGTTTAGGCAGTTGTGTCTCTTAAGAATGAGGGATTCTCAGGTTGCATTCCCATCTTCTGTTTGTCCTTGAATATTTTGCCATTGGTAGTCTGATGACAGCACTTAGCACATCTATCTTGGGAGTCTAGGACTTGCGTGTTGAAGGTTCATTAGGTTGCTGTAGGACACTCTTTACAATTAAAAAACAATTGAAGGTTTTTTTACCACCCGGCAGTTAACTTTAATTATTCCTTAATGCTAGTCTTCACCAGTTTGTTTTTCTGTATGTTCAGTGCCTCTTCGAATTATAATTTGACAGTAAAATGTTGTTTATGGAATTACGCCTTCGATAACTGTTTTAGTTTTGTGCACACAATTGTAATGATGACTTGGTGTTCTCACATTTCTTTCTACTCCAGACTTGTTTGGAAATATAGCTTACTAAAGTAGCTGCAGATATTTCATAATCTAAGCAGATGCCTCAAATGTTAGCTTTGTGGTGTTCCTGTTTAACCACTTATGGTAGACAAAATGATGTATTAGCTTTTGTTAAAGTCAGTCGGTTTTCTGCCTTAAAGCTATTGCTGTCAGATATCAGTAAAGGTTGCTTGCATTGAAATTATCAGTATTTGGGAAGTCTGTTTCAATTTAATCTTTTGAAACTCTTGTACCTATTAAGTATGTACACATTAAACCAACTTACTGTATGCAATTAAGTGATAGGGATGCCTGTAGTACCTTATTGTGTGGTAGATTTACTCAGGCTGCCGCTCAACCTTTTTGGCAGTTTCTGTTCCAAGTTATTGGAGATTCCCCCCAAAGAAAGTGTCGTGCTATGCTCCTGATTGTTTAATTGTTTTGCCTTGGTCTGAATGCGAGGTGTGGTCTAGGAGCCGTGTAGTCCTGTGATCAGACCAGTAGGATTTACAAGCTCCTTAAAAACCATAGCTAGTTTACCTGTAGCTGAGTGAGATTATGGGCAGAGCAGACTTGTGCTTTATATGTATCAGCTTATATGATCATGCCCTTACATTTATTGGTGATGTTTCTGAAAGTCTTATTGAGTATCTCACTTGGTCATACTCTTGCTAAGATCCTCTAAAATAGACATGACTGTCACAATTGGTATTTAATGTGGAAGGTCTCTGTTTTTATAAGTGCATATATGCACTTACAAAGATATATGCATAGTGAGTGTATAAATTTATATATGCATAGTGAGTGTATTTCATACTGAGATCCAAGGGGTTTAAGGATGCTTTGAAGTCTACACCATTTCATTTGCAGGACAACAACACTTCAGAAAACACTTCTTAAGCTGTTAGTGCCGTCAGACTTGCACAGCTAAAATTAGACAAGCATGGAAAGACCAGTTGCTTTGAGCAGTGTTCTGTGGGAATGACTTGTCTGTTGAGGAAATACCACTGATAATATGTGCTTTGTTTCAGTTGTTTGTATGCCTAAACTGAGTGCTTATCTTGTGTTTTTCAGCAGCACAGTGGAATGAAGTTTTCCATGAAAGGAACTCATAACCAAGGCAACAGCTACAGCCCTGTCAGCAGTGGAGGCATGAGGCAACCAGTTGGTAACAGAGGACACCACCAGTACAATCGTAATATATGGAGAAGAAAAAAACACAGAGACAGTTTGCCTATTAGTCTGAGCAGATAATGGCAGATGCCAAAATGACCTTCCCTGTTCAGACAAACTGAGTGAGTGCCACTCGACTTGAGGGATGGAGACCAGCGTCCAGCACATCGTTTTATTGGTGTTGCCAAATATCTGCAGCTGACTTCTTTGCATGTTTCTTTGTGTGGTGGTTCAGTCCATCTTCAAGAAGTAGTTGTGCTTATCTGTGAAGCCTTATTAAATGTGGAAGTTTGTTTTCTGCCTTCCCACAATGGTTCATACAGTGCCGAAGCAGCTCTGACAGTAGAACTGCAAGGACATTTACAAATGCTGTGGCTTTTTTGCTGTGGCTACATCTGTTCCTTTGTGGGTTCTGTTTTCTTTTATTTTAGAAGTGAAGGAAACTTCAGCCCCTTGGAATTATTTTTTTTTCTTTGCAGCAAATCAAGTTGGGAATTCATAAAAGTAAATTTGCTGCTCTCCTGTTTTTGTTTCAAAGTTCAGAATTTTTTGCTCTGTAAATATTGGAAGTATAATTTGTGCAATAACTTGGAATTTTTAATTTAATTTCATATTGTCACATAAGTTATATTTAAGGGGAAGAGGTTTTTTAATTTACAGATCCTTTCCCAGGTTGCATTATCTAAGTTGGGTTCATAGTTTTGGCAGGTTGTCTGAGCAGTGTTACAAACATGACATTTGGTAATATTTGAGGCTTCTTGATTCACAATGAAAGTGCGATTTGGCTTATGGTTTTAAGAAGGTATTAAGCTCCAAAGCATTTTGACCCTGTGTTTTTTAGCTCATTGTCTGGCCTCTATCAGTCGTCTTGCTCTGACCAATGAGTTTTGATTTTATTCCTTTAACTAGACAACAAATCCAGCATTTGTCATACCAGAAATAAAACTTTTGAGAGGGAGGGGAAAAAGGTTGGTTCAAGTCCTGATGTGAAATTAAAAAGCTGTGAACTACACGCTTTGATGCATTTTAGTAACGTAACCTGTTAATGTTTGGGTTCAAACAACATTATTAAACAGAGGTACCCGGCTTAAGGAATGTGGAGAAAGGAAATATGTTGATTCCATTAAGGAATCTGTATAGCAGTATGCATTAGTTCTGTTAAGAGCAAATATATAAAAAGTACTTCAGCTGCTCTAAGCATTACAAGAAGTATCTTTTAATGTATTGCAGGAGAGCACAGCCCAGTGTTGTACACAGTTTGAGTGGCTGGCACTTAATTTACAGATGCATACAGGTATACTATGCAAGTGTGTATTGCCATGACAAACACTGTCTTTAACTTTTTGAAAAATGTACATCCTGCCTAACCCTGAGTTTTTAAAGCACCACAGTTGTCCTGGGAGTAGGTCACATCTCATGCCCTCTGACTTCCCGTTTTTTTTAATGAGAGTTCTTAAGCTATACAGAAAACTACAGATCAGTTACATAAGTCCACTAGCACAGAAAGCTGAAGACTCCTGTTAACAGGACATCTATACTGTGTACAGATATAGACGGTTTTAAAACTGATATCTGAATATTAAAATGAGGTGTCAAGCATGAAGCTTTTTAATATGCTGTATGCCTTTGAAGCAGAAGTAGTTCATGTTATTACTGAATCTGTCAAACATAAACAGGTCCTTGAGGGGAGAGAGGGCAACATTCCAAAGTAGAGTAGTGCATATCTGTTTGCAAAAAGTTTGTCTTAATGCTCCAGACTCATCACAATTTAAAAAAAAATGTTCTAAAAATTGTGAGCTGATTCATGAATAATATCTAAGGGCTGTTACATGAGCCTGTACTGCTTAGTCTTCACACACTAGCAATATTAAGCATAACTACATTAAAGAGCCTTCAAAGGCTTTAGTTGGTGTCTTATACTAGCGTCCATTTTAAAGCAAAACTCATTTGAAAAGTGGTATCATGTAACACTTCAGTCATGGTGAACCAAATAAATTGGCCTGGCTATCACTGTGGTTATGTGCTACAGGTTTAAAAAAAATCATGTTTAAATTTTTTGTGTGGACAACTATGTGGAAGCTAAAATTGACATATTTTTATGTAAAGTTTTCTATTCTTTGATTTTTAATAAACTTTGGAGACCAGTCACTCTTCTGTGCATTTTTATGGGAAATTTAGTGGATGAAGTAATACTTGACCTTATCCCATTGTTTGATGTATGCTTTGAACACCTGTTTTAAATTGTTCATACTAAACACCTTCAGAATGAGCTTGGAAGGTGGATGGATGCCCTCTGCAAATGTTTGATGTGTTTATAAAGGGAGACGAACATGGCTGTTGGTTTTGAAGTTGTGGATTTGATCCCTTTATAATGAGAGAGCAAATGAACTGGAGGTAGTTCCCAATAATATTCTTGAAAGAGGAGATTGACTAACTGATCCCGTGGGATACCTTAACTTTCATATGATTTTCTAGTCTCTCCCTGTAGTTTCTAAGTTCCTTTCAAAATCTTTGTCCAGTTTTCAGCCTCCTCAAAGATTGAACATATCTTGGGTTTTTTGTTGATTTCTGTTAACCCTCTGAGAGGACTCTGAAATGGCAGTAACTGACTCGAATTCAAAATTTCAGAAATGAAATCTTTGGAAGGACTTTCTGTAAGTCTGTGAACTTCCAAGAAAGGGAACTGAGGTATTTTTAATAGACAGTAATGCGGGGCTCGGGATTCAGAATCAGAGGTCTGTGTTACTTGGTCAGTCTTAGTGAGTATCCACTGGAGAAAAATAGAGAAGTGGTGGGAAGTGAAAATAATAAGCACTCAATAATAGCTGGGGTAATAATTTTTTTTTCTGTCAAGGTTGGTTAAACAGTGGGACATGGCTGACAAAGGAATATATAATCTCTGCAGACACCTGGATCTAGTGCAGCATCATTGGTCTTGGAACTTCAGTTTTCCTGGGCTTCACCTTTTCCCTTTTCCTGTCCAGATGACGACTTTGCTTTATTCTTCCCACAGATTCTGCCCAGCTATTCATCCTTGTTAGTAGTCCCCTTTTAATGCATTAGGAGTCTCACTTCGTTCCTTTGAACCCTTGTTCTCTGCTAATAATCTCAGGTATCTGCCTGATCTGTTTTCCAGCCCTACTGACTATGGTGTACACTGTTCATAGGCAAAATTAGCCATGACAGGAAGAGACTGCAAATTGAATGAATTTACAGGACACAGAGTACATCATAGAAAGAGCTCAGTTGCTATCTGTTGCCATTTCCAGGAGATGTCAGTGCTGGTGTTGCATTGCACTTTCTGTGTAACTCCATCCTTCCGTGCACTGGGGCAGGGTAAGAAGACAAATGTGACTGCTGGTACAGTGTTGCTGGGTCAGCAGTGTTTCTTTCCATGGGAACAACAGATAACTCAGTGTGTATGTGTGTGGGAGTGAAAATGTCAATTTCTGAGATCTCAAGGATGACAAGCCTTCTGCTTGCTGGCTGCTGCCAGCATAGTCTGGTTATAAATTTAATAACATCTGGGCTAAATGAAAGTTATGTCCTGAATTCTCCAATTAAGAGACATGACAGAGCTATCAATTAGGTGGCTGATCATGTCATGTACCTCTGCACATAGACTATATTGATTGGGGCATGGAGTGTTCTGGAAAGTAGATGTGCCAAAAAGAAGGATTTTGGAAGTGGCCTTAGAAAGGAGAGAACCCTGAAAAGAAAGATCCTGGAGATCAGGAAGATGCATGGAGAAGAACACCAGGGGATATCCCAGGACCTTGGCTGGTCCTGCCTCTGACTTGTAAACGTGGGTAGCTGTGTAGCACGAAGGGACATGGTTTTCTGCCTGACCTTTGCACACCAGCAGCAAGTTTCCCTGCTAGGAAGGGAGTTGAGACCCTAGCAAAAGTAATGCTTTGGGGGAGTGAGTGAATGAGCATGTGAAATAATCAGCTGGGATAAAATCTCTAATCTTGTTGGTTTGTAAATAAACCCCAGTATTCAGACTCAGTACAGGTTGTTGTTTAATTCACCTGTAACAGAAGGTGGTGTCAGAATGGCAATACTGACCATCTACTGAACCTCAGGTTTGCAGCCAGAAGACTTGCTGCTGACCTTTCCCAAAATCTTCTTCGAATGTCTTTATGCTTTCTCTTCAACCAGGATATTAACTTGTATTAAACTTGTTTTGTGGGTTTCTTTACTTCCTTCCAACACACCGCATAAGTTTCAGTCCTGGAGGTGCTTTGCCTATTTTGGATGACAGAATTTCTTCATTTGTTCTTGATGGTAGGAGATCATTTAATGAAACCTATGGACAGCTTGTGTCTGCAAGAGATCTGCTGGGCAAAATGTTTTTAACTTTTTAACCAAGGATTCTTACTAGAAGATCAGCCATATACTTATGTTATAATTGATTAAAGCAACGGTCACAAGCTGCAGTTATGTTTCAGTGGAAGGATGATAGGGATGCCTCTTGTAGAACATCTTTGTACCTGAAACATGTAAAATTCCTCCCTAAAGCTCTGGTCACATTTCTTCTAAGTGTTATGCTACTGCAAAAGTTTTGGCACAGAATGTTGCCTATGGCACAGCAGTGTTTCAGTTTCAAGTCAATTAGGGATTCTTCAACCATTTGCTTTTTTAATACGACTATTTTATTGGGAGATTGTCACATGAACATAAAAAGAAATTATGAATGGAGAGATATTTTTCCATCAGGGAATAGCCCATATGTATACTCATATTGTTATACATGTCTGCATTTAAGATCAGGAAAATTTTCTGCTGTGTCATATTTAATGGCCTTTGTGCCACAGCCTCTCATGCTAGGGTTGTGGGTGCAAAGGGCATCTCGTCTGACCCCAGCTGTTTTCCCCTTACCCACTGGTTTGATGTATTTTTCTGCTGTGAATTCTTAGCTGTGCAGCAAGCTGTTTCCTACTTCAGTAACTTCTGTGAGTTGAACAGTAGGTTGATTTACTGTCTTACTAAAAAATGACTTCCAAATAAATGCTTCACTGACTCGTTTTTAAACCTAAACCAAGCAGGATTTAGGAGCTCCTATTACAGGGTTTTCTGTGTGAGAGGATAAAAGTGGAAGTCCATAACTTCTGTGCTAAAATTACCACTTTCTATCAGTGAAAACTTTGGCACTGATCCTCTGTTCTATTGAGAAAATCTTGGCAAGAAGATTCCTTGCTTCTTGCTCCTCCTTTCCAGAAAGGGGAAGCTGGATCTTCTGATGGTGTACATCCACGGCAGTTAGATGCATTTGGCTAACTGGAGGAGCCAAGATGAGCAAGTGAAATCTCACCCTTGTCAAGACTTGCCAATCCAGGTGATAACAGACAACTTGAGTACCACTTATTGTGTAATCATGGGCAAGATCATCAAATCATCTCTGTTCTCTCAGGGAAATTTCTCAGAACACTGAGAAACAGAGAATAAGATTTATCTATTAGTCATTCATGTACGTGCATGCAGTCTTCTGTGGATGAACAGAACAGAATTGCAGTTCTGAGCTGCAAGGGCAAGATTTGTTCTGCTGTCCCTACAAGGACCTCAAGGGGACCAAAGTCAGCCTAGTAGATCTGTTTGCCCCTCAGATTAAGAGGAAATGCTGCTACTCTGCCACTTCTGCTCAAGAGCAGGTCTGTGCAACAGTTTTCTGATCAGTTCCTGATAGAACGGTCGAACAGAACGACTTGCCATTTCCTCCCAGCCCTCCGTTAAAAAGGAGTGGTGAAGGAACGTAAAGGTACGTGAGTTACATGCACCGTGTGGATATAAGTGTTAGAAATCGTGAGTGGTTAAGCACTAAATACAAATGCTCTAGAGTTGTTGTGAAATTTCCATCCTTTGAAATTTTTAAAAACTTGCCTGGGCAAGGCCCCAGGTAACCCAGTCTAACTTCAAAGTCAGTCCTGCTGGGCCAGGAGGTTGGGCCATATGACCTCTGTAGGGCTCCTCCTAATCTAAATTTTTCTATGTTATCACAAAGAAGAATAACTGGGTTTTTTTATTTTACTTATCTCTGTTGAGTTTATGAAGTGTATTAATGGGGACAGAATTCAGGCAGGAATTTTTTATTTTTTTTTGCTTTGTCCTACACTCAATAAAATGTATCTGCAAATTCTAGGACTCCCAGGTTGAAACGGGTAAGAACATACTGACTTCTGAAGTTAATAATCCCTGTAAATGCATAGTCCCTAATCATAGATTACTGATCAAGAAGTAAATCAATAAATCTTCCTGACTAAAATGCATTTTTGTTTGTATCTTCTCTGTATTATTGTTATTATTATTGATAAACATATTTTGTTTCTTCTGATTTCAGTCACCTTGCATTTGCAATGGCAACACAATGCAGACGTGTGGGAGTAGTGGTTTGAGTAGGACATCAACAAAATACTCCAAAATGCTAAGTCCTTCAACTTTTCCTCCTGACAAGAGTCGCATAGATTCATCATGGAAACTTTTCATAATTAAAATCTGCTTGTTTGCATTTATTCTGCAGTACAGGAGTAGGTAGATTACTTACACTAATACCACCTGAAAGGTAGTGAAACAGCACTGATGGAGCCGCAAACATCATGAAAAGGGTTTTTTAGAGGTAAGATTTGGAAGCTGCTATTAGCCCAAGTTTTACCTAAATAACTCTAGATCATATCTGTCTAGATCAGAGCTGTCCCTCACTTTGCATCTTAGAAATCAATGAGAACAATGTTCATCAGGAGTGGGTATATAGCAAAGAAAAAAGAAGCAAAATCTAAGACCTTAATGACCTTAACTTGAAATATAAAATAACCGTCCCAGTGGAATGAGAACTGTGATATGTCAACCTGTGGATCTACGAAGAAGGACTTAAACCCACCAGCAGATAACCCCCTAGTGTAGTATAATCTATGGAGAAGAGCTTGAGGATCTCTGGGATACTAATATCACTAAGAAATGGCAAAAGTCATTATCTGGACAACTCATATCGGTATTTCACCTTTATTTCTGTGGCAAAGTAGAATAGGACCGGGGTGTTACCTTCCACTTAAGCGGGATGGGATCAATAGATGGCGCTGAGTGCAAATTTTTGGGCCGAGGCGGTGCGGTTAGTGGAAGGTTAACTCTGGACACGGGTGCTGGCTGTGTCG